GGCATATATAATTTGGCGGAATAGATCTTTCTCAACAAAAAGCAAACTCTCCCAGATAAAGCATCAATATGTTGTCTAAAAGAAAGCTCATTATCCACTATAACACCTAAAATTTTGTGGTGAGTAACAAATTCAATATTATTGTAATTTAAATGGACATTTATATCGGAAGCCATATTATTCCCCCTACCAAACATCAAAGCCTTAGTTTTTGACGGATTAATTGTAAGATAATTCGCCGATGCCCAATTAGAGAATTGCTGCAGACATTCATTTACATTGCTTTCGAACAAAGATAAGTTATCACTATCTCCAGTTAAAATGAAGAAAATGTCATCAGCAAACTGCAACGTTTCACAAGATTTGAACTGCATGGTATCACGCAAGTCATTAACATAAAGAAGGAATAATAGTGGCCCCAGTATAGAACCTTGCGGTACACCACTATTTAAACTCACTGGGTCAGATTGGTTACCATTGATAGCAACAAACTGTGATCTATCTCTGATAAATGAATAAATCAGTTTACAGGCAGTTCCAGAAAAATTAAAATTATCTCTTAATTTAGTGATTAAATGAGCAAAGTTAATGGAATTGAACGCTTTTGACAGATCAAGAGATAAAAGGACACTTAATTTTCGATCATTAATATTATGGCGGATGAAATCAGTGGCTTTTAAAAGTAAGTGTGTGGTGTTGTGCCTTTGCCGGAATGCAAACTGTGTGTCAGATATCATATTTGAAGTGTATTCCAAAATTTGATTCTTTAAGATCACTTCCATAATTTTTGAAATTGCTGGTAGGATTGATATTGGACGTAGGTCATCTGGACTATATACGTTTTTAGCTTTTGGTATAGGAACTACTCGGGCATTTTTCCAAGCTAATGGGTAAGAGGAACAAGTCAAGATGAAATTGACCAAATCCAAAATATAGTCACATATGTAAGGAATGACAAGTTTTATAAAGCGGATTGGTATTCCATCAATACCAACCGCATTCGACTTAATTTTATTAACCGCCTCAAAAATCTCAACCACAGAAACACATCTAAAGGAAAACGAAGTAGTGTCATTAAATTGAGTTATATCAAAATTATCATCCGACGTAGAATTGGCCTGTGCGAAAAAAGTATTTATATCATTGACATCAATATCAAATTCTGCGCTATCATGTTGCACACATCCCGAATTCCTGAGCACTTTCCAAATTTCAGACGAAGTCATATTACCAAAAAGCTTAGAAAAATATCTCCTTTTATTCCTACGAATAACTGTCCTTGCTTTGTTACGATACCTACAATACTTTACCCAATTTTCCTGAGACTTATTTCTCTGGAAAGCAGTATATGCTAGATCCCTTACAGATCTTGCAAAAGTTACGTCCCTTGCCATAAACCAACGATCTGGAGAAAACTGTACCTTCTTTCTAACAATTGGTACACAAGAAAAAAGATCAGCAAGCAAACCACCTAAATAAGAACATTTTTCATTTGCATCGATTGAATTAGACATTGCATTATTATCAAAGGACTCAAGAAAGCTAAATAACCTAATCCAATTAATATTGTTATAATCACGAAACTCTATAAAATCGGGCAGATAATGGACATCGAAATCTATAGATGCAAAAATAAGAGCATGGTCAGACACAGACGGACATTGAACCTGATCAAAATATCTCACACATGAACTATCACTCGTAAGCATATAATCAATAAGTGAGGTTGATCTTCTACCTAAGTTAAAATGTGTGGGCATGGAATTATGTACGATAGATATATTATACTGGGCACAGATAGAACGAAAAGCATTGGCTCTGGATGTGTCAAAGAGATTGATGTTAAAATCCCCTAAAATGAAAACTTTGGAGTATTTAGAAAATAGGTCTCTATGGTGGCATTCAAATTCAACTAAATTTCCATTGGGCAAATAGACAACACCAAACAATATTTGAATATTGTTAAAATGCACTACGACAAATAACGACTCACATCCTAACTCTGAAACTTTCAACACAACTTTATAAGAAATTCCGCTACGTATAAATATCCCTACACCCCCACCTCTGCCAGGACGATGTCGGTCATTCCGACAGAACTTATATCCAGGCAAGGAAACAGCTTTACTACATATTTCAGCCGACAGCCATGTTTCTGAGACTGCAAAAATATGAAATATGCCATCTCTTAAGATTTGCCTCAACTCTTCAATCTTTGACAAAGGTTTAAGACTTCGGCAGTTTAGATGAGCTAACTTGAAACTGCGGTCAAATGGGCAAAGTACATCCTTTATGTATGAGTTATTATTCACGACTGGACCTAGATTATCACGTAAGGGCATAATAAATCAAAAAACAGTTTGTGGGGGGGAACCAAGAATCGAAATAAAAAACTAATACTATACAATATAAATACATTTAAAACGAATTCAAACTTAACATACTTTTCTTTCCACACTTTTCTTTTAAGAGGTGCTTGAACAAATTTTCTTACAAAATCCAGGACTTTTCGACAAGAGTTCCTTGAAAGTTTTTCTTTAAAAAATCCACTCTTTTCATTTAGGAGGTTTAAGAGCAACAATTTTATTAAAAATCCACCCTTTTCTGTCAAGGTGTCCTTGAACAGTTACTTGACAATTTTTTCTTAAAAAATACAAGCTTTTTATTTTAGAGGTAATTGAAATCATTTCTTACAAAATTCAGGTTTTTCTAACTGGAGAAAAAAAATATTAAATATCCACTCTTTTTAGTCAGGATGTCCTTAATTTTTTTTTGTTTACAAATCAAAGTTTTTCATTTCAGAATTCCTTGAAAATTTTCCACAATTTTCTTTTAAGAGGTTCTTGGAAAAAATTGTTGTAACACCTAGAAACAAACATTTTAGACCTCACACAGTATATATATTCTTGATCTTGATCATCATAAAGTTCTATGCCGATTTAGCGATGTCCGTCCGTCATCCCGTCTATCCGTATGTAGAAATCACTCTAGTTTCCGAACGAAATAAAGAAGTTTAATAAAATTTTACTCAAATGTGTATTATGTCTGCAGGACTTTTGGTATTGAAAATGGGTCATGTAGGTCCACGTTTTGGTATAGCCCCCACATAATGGTACCTCCCTATTTTCGGTATTTTGGTGATTTAAGCCCCATTATTTACCGGAAATGTTTCGAATTTCGTATTTGAAGTTCGCAATGGATATTACAGCCTACGACAGAAAAATGTCTGTGCATGTCCACGTCTTCGTATAGCCCCCATATAACAGTTACTCCCGATATTCAGTACTTTTATGATTTTAGCGACATTATTCACCGGAATTGTTCCATATTTGGTATTTGAAGTTCGTAATGGATACTACAACCTATGAGAGAAAAATGTCTGTGCAGGTCCACGTTTTGGTATAGCTCCCAACGTTCTTCCCTAAATTCGGTATTATGATGATTTTAGCTACATTATTCACCGATTTTTTTTTAAGTTTCGCATTTGTAATAAATTATGAAAAAAGTTGCCTATGCAGGTCCACGTCGTCGTATAGACCTTAATATAACGGTTAAATTCGGTATTTTTAAGATTTTAACAGAATTTTTTTCGGATTTTTTTTGAAAATCGCCGAATTCGTTCCAAATGTTGGAGGTAATTCAAAGTTCGTCCCGGTCGAATTTACAGCTTTTTTACTTGTTATTTTAAAGATTCTTGAAAAATATTCACGTTTTTCATTTAAGAAGTCCTTAAATTTTTTTAAATAATCCACGTTTTTCGTTTGAAGACCCTTGAAAAAGAAGAACTTAACAATTTTCTTAAAAACCCATGGATTTCATTCACAATACACAGATTTTCCATTAAAGAGGACCTTTCAACCCTTGCTTGTAATTTAAAAGGTCCTTGAACAATACTTAAAATATCTTATCGTTCCATTCAAAAGGTTCTTGAACAATTTTTCTAAAAAAACTCATCTTTTACTTATGGGATATTGAATAATTTTTTTTAAATATCATTTAAAGGTCCTATGAAAATGAACCTGAACCAATTTTCTTAAAAATCTACGCATTTTAGTAAAGTGGTCCTAAAAATCTTCACCTGTCTTTATTTTCAAAAATGTTCTTAAAAATCCACTTTTTATTAAAAAGGTCTTATTAATATTTTTAAATAATCCACGTTTTTCATTGTAAAGGTCCGTAAATTTTTTGAAATAATTCATGTTTTTATTTTAAGGATCCTTGAAAAAAATAGGTCCTTACACAATTTCCCTTAAAAATCCATCATTCAAAATACACACAATCCACGTTTTTCATTTAAGATATCCTTTGGAAAAAAATCGTAAAAAAACAACGCTTTTCATTTAAGAAGTCCCTGAACAAATTTTCCTACAAATTCCCACCTTTTAGACAAATGATCCTCGAAATCTTGACTGTCTTATTTCAATAATTTTTAATATATCAACGTTTTTCAGTCAGTATATCCTTTAACAAGTTTTTGTTAAACACATGTTTAGTCCCTACAAAATGCCTGATTCTTTTTGAACAAATTTCTTAAGAAATTCACGTTATTTTCGCCAAGAGTTCATTGAAACTTCACCCTTTTAAGTCAGAATGTCCTTGAACAGTTACTAGACAATTTTTTCTTGAAAAATCTACGCTTTTTATTTTAGAGGTCTTTGAAAACATTTATTAAAAATTCACTATTTTCTATCAAGAGGTCTTAAAAATATTTCCCTTAAAAAGCCTACTACATTAATTTACGAGGTTTTTGAAAAAATAGAACTCCACTCTTTTTAGTCAGGATGTCCTTAAACATTTTTTTGTTACATAATTACTCATTTTCAGTCAAATGGCCCTTCAACATATTTCTGAAGAACAACACAATTCAGTTCAGAGGTTCTTGCTCAATTTTTCTTACTTGGCCCACACTTTTCACTCACTAGGTTATTAAATATTTTTTTAGAAAGTTTTTTTTTTTCTTTCCGCGCTTACATTTGTTAGAATATAAAGATCTATACAAGTTTACTAAAAAATTTTAAATTATTTTATTTACAATAAAAGTTTATGTAAACATTGTAAAATGTTAATTTTTAAAGTCTGAACAATTTAATTTTGGACGATTGCAAAGCAAGTGTTAGCGGAATTTCTTGATTGGCTTGTGTTTGGATTTGACGGCGGCGTTCGTTCATTATTTTTCTTTGTTGTCGCTGGATATTAAAAAGAGAATACCTTTTAATACCTAAAGTTGGATACTTGAAATATCTGGGATAATTTGTGGCATTTTCTACTTCGGCATTTGAGGAGCCCACTCGTAGCATTATTTTATTGTTTTTAGGAGTCATTCGATTTCCATCATTTTCTCCCAAGAATGCTTCTCGGTCACAGCCCGATTTGAAACGTGACCGTCTTTGAAATGTTGTTGAACGTCTCTCCAATTCATCTGATAGATCTTCATCGAGATCAATGAAAAACGAATCTGATGAGGTTGATACTAAATTAGTGGCATTAGGTTCAGTTGAGGCAATCCGTACGCTGCGATTGCGAACTTCCGTTAATGGCATTTGTTTAGGATTATCCACCTACTGGAAGAAAATTAAAAATAATGGAAAAAGAAATGGTAAGAGTCTAAGGGAAATTTAAATCAAATTTAATGGTCGGCTCCAAAAATTCAATGAGGAAGTAGAATATATCGTGTTACAGGCAAAGGTGTCCAAGGAAGGCATATTCTGCATCAAATACAAAATGCAAAAAATACTTTAATTAATCGATGTAATATTTTCATTCAAATAATAGTCATAACGTCAATATCGCCGGATTAGTATAAATATGATCCCAACTTTGAATTTGTAATCATACGATCACTCTATGACTTATATATATTTGTCATCCGTTTCATGGAGGGTATATTAAGTTTGTCACTTCGCTTATAACAACTCGATATGAGCATTTCAGAGCCCAAAAACTATTAGAACCGTCAGTTATGCAAATATTAGGATTTGCAAAGTTGTAGCAAAAACCGATTATACTTTTTCTTTCAATGCAGTAAAATATTTTCTTTGAAAATTTCGATTTTTTGTGTGGCGTAGACCGATATTGCCCATTTCCGAATACGATCTAAGTTTGACAATAATATTGCGATATATTAAATTTGGACAAAATCGGATACTCCCTTCAAGAGTTATCATGCGCACCAGTCAGAAAGACGGACGGACGGACAAGGCTGGATCGACTCCAAATGTCCTGTAACGGATTTGGTCCAAAACTGTTTTTTCGGATTATACTTTCTCTTTCTGTGCAGTAAAATATTTTCTTTGAAAATTCAAAACAAAAAAAAAATATTTAAAAATCCACGTTTATAGCTTTTATAGTCCTTGAAAAAATATCTTTAAAAATCCACGTTTATAGCTTTTATAGTCCTTGAAAAAATATCTTTAAAAATCCACGTTTATAGCTTTTATAGTCCTTGAAAAAATATCTTTAAAAATCCACGTTTATAGCTTTTATAGTCCTTGAAAAAATATCTTTAAAATCCACGTTTATAGCTTTGATAGTCCTTGAAAAAATATCTTTAAAAATCCACGTTTATAGCTTTGATAGTCCTTGAAAAAATATCTTTAAAAATCCACGTTTATAGCTTTGATAGTCCTTGAAAAAATATCTTTAAAAATCCACGTTTATAGCTTTGATAGTCCTTGAAAAATATCTTTAAAAATCCACGTTTATAGCTTTGATAGTCCTTGAAAAAATATCTTTAAAAATCCACGTTTATAGCTTTGATAGTCCTTGAAAAAATATCTTTAAAAAATCCACGTTTATAGCTTTGATAGTCCTTGAAAAAATATCTTTAAAAATCCACGTTTATAGCTTTGATAGTCCTTGAAAAAATATCTTTAAAAAATCCACGTTTATAGCTTTGATAGTCCTTGAAAAAATATCTTTAAAAAATCCACGTTTATAGCTTTGATAGTCCTTGAAAAAATATCTTTAAAAAATCCACGTTTATAGCTTTGATAGTCCTTGAAAAAATATCTTTAAAAAATCCACGTTTATAGCTTTGATAGTCCTTGAAAAAATATCTTTAAAAAATCCACGTTTATAGCATTGATAGTCCTTGAAAAAATATCTTTAAAAAATCCACGTTTATAGCTTTGATAGTCCTTGAAAAAATATCTTTAAAAAATCCACGTTTATAGCTTTGATAGTCCTTGAAAAAATAACTTTAAAAAATCCACGTTTATAGCTTTGATAGTCCTTGAAAAAATATCTTTAAAAAATCCACGTTTATAGCTTTGATAGTCCTTGAAAAAATATCTTTAAAAAATCCACGTTTATAGCTTTGATAGTCCTTGAAAAAATATCTTTAAAAAATCCACGTTTATAGCATTGATAGTCCTTGAAAAAATATCTTTAAAAAATCCACGTTTATAGCTTTGATAGTCCTTGAAAAAATATCTTTAAAAAATCCACGTTTATAGCTTTGATAGTCCTTGAAAAAATAACTTTAAAAAATCCACGTTTATAGCTTTGATAGTCCTTGAAAAAATAACTTTAAAAAATCCACGTTTATAGCTTTGATAGTCCTTGAAAAAATATCTTTAAAAAATCTACGTTTATAGCTTTGATAGTCCTTGAAAAAATATCTTTAAAAAATCCACGTTTATAGCTTTGGTAGTCCTTGAAAAAATATCTTTAAAAAATCCACGTTTATAGCTTTGGTAGTCCTTGAAAAAATATCTTTAAAAAATCCACGTTTATAGCTTTGGTAGTCCTTGAAAAAATAACTTTAAAAAATCCACGTTTATAGCTTTGATAGTCCTTGAAAAAATATCTTTAAAAAATCCACGTTTATAGCTTTGATAGTCCTTGAAAAAATATCTTTAAAAAATCCACGTTTATAGCTTTGATAGTCCTTGAAAAAATAACTTTAAAAAATCCACGTTTATAGCTTTGATAGTCCTTGAAAAAATAACTTTAAAAAATCCACGTTTATAGCTTTGATAGTCCTTGAAAAAATAACTTTAAAAAAATCCACGTTTATAGCTTTGATAGTCCTTGAAAAAATATCTTTAAAAAATCCACGTTTATAGCTTTGATAGTCCTTGAAAAAATATCTTTAAAAAATCCACGTTTATAGCTTTGATAGTCCTTGAAAAAATATCTTTAAAAAATCCACGTTTATAGCTTTAATAGTCCTTGAAAAAATATCTTTAAAAAATCCACGTTTATAGCTTTGATAGTCCTTGAAAAAATATCTTTAAAAAATCCACGTTTATAGCTTTGATAGTCCTTGAAAAAATATCTTTAAAAAATCCACGTTTATAGCATTGATAGTCCTTGAAAAAATATCTTTAAAAAATCCACGTTTATAGCTTTGATAGTCCTTGAAAAATATCTTTAAAAAATCCACGTTTATAGCTTTGATAGTCCTTGAAAAAATAACTTTAAAAAATCCACGTTTATAGCTTTGATAGTCCTTGAAAAAATAACTTTAAAAAATCCACGTTTATAGCTTTGATAGTCCTTGAAAAAATATCTTTAAAAAATCTACGTTTATAGCTTTGATAGTCCTTGAAAAAATATCTTTAAAAAATCCACGTTTATAGCTTTGGTAGTCCTTGAAAAAATAACTTTAAAAAATCCACGTTTATAGCTTTGATAGTCCTTGAAAAAATATCTTTAAAAAATCCACGTTTATAGCTTTGATAGTCCTTGAAAAAATATCTTTAAAAAATCCACGTTTATAGCTTTGGTAGTCCTTGAAAAAATAACTTTAAAAAATCCACGTTTATAGCTTTGATAGTCCTTGAAAAAATAACTTTAAAAAATCCACGTTTATAGCTTTGATAGTCCTTGAAAAAATATCTTTAAAAAATCCACGTTTATAGCTTTGATAGTCCTTGAAAAAATATCTTTAAAAAATCTACGTTTATAGCTTTGCTAGTCCTTGAAAAAATATCTTTAAAAAATCCACGTTTATAGCTTTGCTAGTCCTTGAAAAAATATCTTTAAAAAATCCACGTTTATAGCTTTGATAGTCCTTGAAAAAATATCTTTAAAAAATCCACGTTTATAGCTTTGGTAGTCCTTGAAAAAATATCTTTAAAAAATCCACGTTTATAGCTTTGATAGTCCTTGAAAAAAATATTTAAAAAATCGACGTTTATAGCTTTGATAGTCCTTGAAAAAATATCTTTAAAAAATCCACGTTTATAGCTTTGATAGTCCTTGAAAAAATATCTTTAAAAAATCCACGTTTATAGCTTTGATAGTCCTTGAAAAAATATCTTTAAAAAATCCACGTTTATAGCTTTGATAGTCCTAGAAAAAATATCTTTAAAAAATCCACGTTTATAGCTTTGATAGTCCTTGAAAAAATATCTTTAAAAAATCCACGTTTATAGCTTTGATAGTCCTTGAAAAAAAATATTTAAAAAATCCACGTTTATAGCTTTGATAGTCCTTGAAAAAATATCTTTAAAAAATCCACGTTTATAGCTTTGATAGTCCTTGAAAAAATATCTTTAAAAAATCCACGTTTATAGCTTTGATAGTCCTTGAAAAAATATCTTTAAAAAATCCACGTTTATAGCTTTGATAGTCCTTGAAAAAATATCTTTAAAAAATCCACGTTTATAGCTTTGATAGTCCTTGAAAAAATATCTTTAAAAAATCCACGTTTATAGCTTTGATAGTCCTTGAAAAAATATCTTTAAATAATCCACGTTTATAGCTTTGATAGTCCTTGAAAAATATCTTTAAAAAATCCACGTTTATAGCTTTGATAGTCCTTGAAAAAATATCTTAAAAAAATCCACGTTTATAGCTTTGATAGTCCTTGAAAAAATATCTTTAAAAAATCCACGTTTATAGCTTTGATAGTCCTTGAAAAAATATCTTTAAATAATCCACGTTTATAGCTTTGATAGTCCTTGAAAAAATATCTTTAAAAAATCCACGTTTATAGTCCTTGAAAAAATATCTTTAAAAAATCCACGTTTATAGCTTTGATAGTCCTTGAAAAAATATCTTTAAAAAATCCACGTTTATAGCTTTGATAGTCCTTGAAAAATATCTTTAAAAAATCCACGTTTATAGCTTTGATAGTCCTTGAAAAAATATCTTTAAAAAATCCACGTTTATAGCTTTGATAGTCCTTGAAAAAATATCTTTAAAAAATCCACGTTTATAGCATTGATAGTCCTTGAAAAAATATCTTTAAAAAATCCACGTTTATAGCTTTGATAGTCCTTGAAAAATATCTTTAAAAAATCCACGTTTATAGCTTTGATAGTCCTTGAAAAAATAACTTTAAAAAATCCACGTTTATAGCTTTGATAGTCCTTGAAAAAATAACTTTAAAAAATCCACGTTTATAGCTTTGATAGTCCTTGAAAAAATATCTTTAAAAAATCTACGTTTATAGCTTTGATAGTCCTTGAAAAAATATCTTTAAAAAATCCACGTTTATAGCTTTGGTAGTCCTTGAAAAAATAACTTTAAAAAATCCACGTTTATAGCTTTGATAGTCCTTGAAAAAATATCTTTAAAAAATCCACGTTTATAGCTTTGATAGTCCTTGAAAAAATATCTTTAAAAAATCCACGTTTATAGCTTTGGTAGTCCTTGAAAAAATAACTTTAAAAAATCCACGTTTATAGCTTTGATAGTCCTTGAAAAAATAACTTTAAAAAATCCACGTTTATAGCTTTGATAGTCCTTGAAAAAATATCTTTAAAAAATCCACGTTTATAGCTTTGATAGTCCTTGAAAAAATATCTTTAAAAAATCTACGTTTATAGCTTTGCTAGTCCTTGAAAAAATATCTTTAAAAAATCCACGTTTATAGCTTTGATAGTCCTTGAAAAAATATCTTTAAAAAATCCACGTTTATAGCTTTGGTAGTCCTTGAAAAAATATCTTTAAAAAATCCACGTTTATAGCTTTGATAGTCCTTGAAAAAAATATTTAAAAAATCGACGTTTATAGCTTTGATAGTCCTTGAAAAAATATCTTTAAAAAATCCACGTTTATAGCTTTGATAGTCCTTGAAAAAATATCTTTAAAAAATCCACGTTTATAGCTTTGATAGTCCTTGAAAAAATATCTTTAAAAAATCCACGTTTATAGCTTTGATAGTCCTAGAAAAAATATCTTTAAAAAATCCACGTTTATAGCTTTGATAGTCCTTGAAAAAATATCTTTAAAAAATCCACGTTTATAGCTTTGATAGTCCTTGAAAAAAAATATTTAAAAAATCCACGTTTATAGCTTTGATAGTCCTTGAAAAAATATCTTTAAAAAATCCACGTTTATAGCTTTGATAGTCCTTGAAAAAATATCTTTAAAAAATTCACGTTTATAGCTTTGATAGTCCTTGAAAAAATATCTTTAAAAAATCCACGTTTATAGCTTTGATAGTCCTTGAAAAAATATCTTTAAAAAATCCACGTTTATAGCTTTGATAGTCCTTGAAAAAATATCTTTAAATAATCCACGTTTATAGCTTTGATAGTCCTTGAAAAAATATCTTTAAAAAATCCACGTTTATAGCTTTGATAGTCCTTGAAAAAATATCTTAAAAAAATCCACGTTTATAGCTTTGATAGTCCTTGAAAAAATATCTTTAAAAAATCCACGTTTATAGCTTTGATAGTCCTTGAAAAAATATCTTTAAATAATCCACGTTTATAGCTTTGATAGTCCTTGAAAAAATATCTTTAAAAAATCCACGTTTATAGCTTTGATAGTCCTTGAAAAAATAACTTTAAAAAATCCACGTTTATAGCTTTGATAGTCCTTGAAAAAATATCTTTAAAAAATCCACGTTTATAGCTTTGATAGTCCTTGAAAAAATATCTTTAAAAAATCCACGTTTATAGCTTTGATAGTCCTTGAAAAAATATCTTTAAAAAATCCACGTTTATAGCTTTGATAGTCCTTGAAAAAATATCTTTAAAAAATCCACGTTTATAGCTTTGATAGTCCTTGAAAAAATATCTTTAAAAAATCCACGTTTATAGCTTTGATAGTCCTTGAAAAAATATCTTTAAAAAATCCACGTTTATAGCTTTGATAGTCCTTGAAAAAATATCTTTAAAAAATCCACGTTTATAGCTTTGATAGTCCTAGAAAAAATATCTTTAAAAAATCCACGTTTATAGCTTTGATAGTCCTTGAAAAAATATCTTTAAAAATCCACGTTTATAGCTTTGATAGTCCTTGAAAAAATATCTTTAAAAATCCACGTTTATAGCTTTGATAGTCCTTGAAAAAATATCTTTAAAAAATCCACGTTTATAGCTTTGATAGTCCTTGAAAAAATATCTTTAAAAATCCACGTTTATAGCTTTGATAGTCCTTAAAAAAATAACTTTAAAAAATCCACGTTTATAGCTTTGATAGTCCTTGAAAAATATCTTTAAAAAATCCACGTTTATAGCTTTGATAGTCCTTGAAAAAATATTTTTAAAAAATCCACGTTTATAGCTTTGATAGTCCTAGAAAAAATATCTTTAAAAAATCCACGTTTATAGCTTTGATAGTCCTTGAAAAAATATCTTTAAAAAATCCACGTTTATAGCTTTGATAGTCCTTGAAAAAATAACTTTAAAAAATCCACGTTTATAGCTTTGATAGTCCTTGAAAAATATCTTTAAAAAATCCACGTTTATAGCTTTGATAGTCCTTGAAAAAATATCTTTAAAAAATCCACGTTTATAGCTTTGATAGTCCTTGAAAAAATATCTTTAAAAATCCACGTATATAGCCTTGATAGTCCTTGAAAAAAATATTTAAAAATCCACGTATATAGCCTTGATAGTCCTTGAAAAAAATATTTAAAAATCCACGAATAGCCTGAAAAATGTTATTTAAAAATCCACGTGTACAAGGGAAAATGAGAAAATATTGGTTTGTTATTACGGTGCCGTGCATCAATGGACACTGATGCTAAAGGAGCGCTTATGAGTCGGTATAAGTGTTCCTATTATCTGGCTATGATATGGGATGGTGTAGCGTATCATATGGTCGACCAGCCCGACTATAGGTTATGTTTCTTCTTAAATTACAATACCCCTCACGAATCATACCTCATTAGATTTCGGTATTTGTTCATTTTCATCATTCTTTTGGAGTTTCTGTATTTTTCTTTTCGGTTTCTTTGGAGTAGGTGGTCCTTGCTTTTTTTGCTCATTGATCTGAATTTCTTCATCACTTGATAACTCCCGTTTACTTTCAGATATTGTCTTGGGTCTTGCGGGTGGTATGAGGGCAACATAGGGCTGCGATAAAGCACAGGATGTTGATGGAAACTCCTCTAGGGGATTTTTCATGCATTGAATTTGTAGGAGATATTTTATATCTTCCAAAACGCTATTGCGCATGTTCACATCTAACGAAGATGGAATCTTGGGAATATCGAAATCACTTTTTGATTCCAAAATGAGTTGTATATTTTGAAGAATTTGCTGGGTATCTTTTGGGGTTGCATTTATTCGCCCATGTCTTGGTTGAAGAATTTGTTGTAAGTGGATGAGCACCCGATCTCTTTCGTTTTTCGAGAAGTGTTTGGAAGGTTTTTTGTTGTATTTGGGATTGAGAATGAGGCCGATGTCCTGGAGTTTGATAAACTTACATGGTTCTCGATTGTGGCACTTATGAGAACCACTGGGAGAGGGAGAATATTTCCCCAGGACATTTCCGTAATTTGTTTCATTTGAAATTGGACCATCTTTTTGGGGATTAAAGAGAGCAAACAAATCTCTTAGTATCTCGTTTTTGTCTTGGGCTTGATATTTGCTGGTTGTGGGCGCAATAAGTTCTGTTAAATTTTCTTGGATTTCCCTGCGAATTCCATTGCGACGAAAGTGGGCCTCTGCCTGGGCTGACAGCACATCAGTTTGTACTTCTTCCGATACTTTTGTGCTGCTGGAAAATTCCAGTTTTGATTTGGTCTCCAAGGAAAAATTGGATGATTTAGGGATATGCATTTCCTTGTGGTATTCTGAAGTTAAGGGTTCAGTTTTGATATTACGAAAATCGAGGCTATTATCGAGGCGAATTTTTGAGTCCGACATGCTTTCGGCCTTGAGTGCTGGTTCGGATTTTAGTTCAATGTTGTCTGAGAAACCCGCCGTTGTAGGAGTTGTTAAGTTGTCATTTTCAGTTTTAAATGTTTGTTCTCTTTTGAGAGGACTACTGGTTTTAGGGCCTTGGGATCTTGAAAGTCCAGTAGGGGGCACAGAAGGTTTTGTGGATATTGTAGAGGTTCCATTGGAAGGTTTGGGGCTAATGGATTTTTGAGAGTCCATTGATGTTATTATTTCCTTGTTTTGTGTTACCGACTCCAATGAATCTTCAGGTAGAACTTTTTGAGGTATTGAAAATTTGACTTTTTCCGGTTTTTGTTCTTCCAAAAGCTGTGAAGGGACTGGTGTTACTTCACCAAAACTTTTGGACAATGAGGGTCCTGAGTACTCAATTTTTGTGGGAATCTTCAGTAATGGTTCATCTAAGTTCCCATCATCCCAAGGAGTAGATTTGGGTTCTGTAGCAGCGCTTTGGATATTTTCAAAAATATCCTTTGAAATTGGTTGGATTTTTTGGAAACTTTCCTCTTTTATTGGAACTTTGGTTTTGGATCCTAAATTTCCCAAAGCTTCTATATTCACCCTCGTCTCCTCACGTTCTGCAAAGGATGGTGTTGTTGTTATGTCATTGGCCAAACATTCATTGATATCATTAGAAACCATAGTTTTAAGGACTTGCCTGGGTATGCATTTATCCTGGTCTAGACGACTCTTGACAATATTGAATATTTCCACCAGGGATTCACAGGGCCTCTGAGGAGGCAAATTCTTCATGTCCTCTACACTTGAACTGGAACAGGAATAGAAGACCTCACTTGAAAAACTAAAATTGCCAGCTTGAGTTTGTTGTTCCAAATGTGCGGAATATTGGCCACTTGTTGTTTTGTTGCCATTTACGGTTTGTGTCTGAGATGAGGTAATTTGAGCCACGTGCATAAATTGCTTATTTTGTTTTGTTTGTGTTGTTGGTTTTCTATTATCCATTTCGGCATGAGCTTCCATGGCCAGATGGGTGTGTACGAATTGAGTCTCGTTATTTCGATGTTGTATTTGAAGATTTATGGGTAGAATAAAGGATATGGGTTGCATTTTTATGGATTTCGGAGATTTCCTATGAGACTTTGATTTGTGACGATGATGAGTGGAATGATCCTGGGGAGAGATGGGCACACATGAACAGTTGAGGATATTTTTTAAATCCTTTGGATCCGTTACATTATTACCAGCAAATGGTGACTGAATATTGCTATTATCCTTAGAGGAGTTTGGACTTGCAATAGGGGGGTAGTCTGATAATTTTGTGCAGTTACACATTAGCAGACTTTGATCCTTACTTGACTTAGGATCCTCAAAGCATTTAGCATGGTTACTAAGTCCTGTAGTTGAAAGCACATTATCTGATGTCACTCGACCTTCAACTCCACCCTCGAATTTTTGCTTACCAAATACATTTTCCCGATAGTTTTCCTTTACATCGATCTCAAGGGAAGTCTCCTTGGAATCCTGATTTTCAACTTTTATTTTGGATGCTTCTTCTGCATACTTCCTCGCAAGAGTACACTTGTCAGGAACACCTAGACCTACATCGTTATGATTGCCGCACGGATTTGAACAATCCTCTGGCGAACAATTCATATTAGTTTCAGCACTTCCCAAATTCCAATATCTGTCATAGGAAGGACTTTGTATCATTTCGGGCTGGCCTTCGGATTTAATTTCCACGCCATTTTGGCTCATTACGGCACTGGATACCTTCAAAGGCATCATAAATGAATTTTGAGTTGTCGGATTTTCATTTTTAACTTCGTAATTCTTTTGTAATTTTTCCGTTCTTCCATTTACATCCTTGGCACACTTCTTACATTTCACAGCAATTTTTCTTTCCGCCTTCTTTGCCTTGTGATGTGCTTTTTTAAAACATTTATACAATACATGGGAAGTCTGAGCCATTTCCCTCAACATAACTTTAAATTCATGAGGATTACGGATATTATTGATCACATCCAAAATTGAACTGTGGCCGGCTGGCTTTATATTGCCATTAGAATCTCCTTCGGAGCCGGCCGAACAGTCATAGAATATATCCTCATTATCATGACTATTTCCTTTTATTTTTCCATTTTGGGGCACAAAAATCGGTTCAACATAGAGTTGAGGCAATGGATTCTCCGTAGCCATTTTTAGCAGAGGACAATCAAAGACACTGTGGTCCAATGGCGAAATCTTTCGTTTATATTTATTTTTGGAACAGCCACAGGGATTGTTATTACATTTGATGCAAATTTCTCCATTTGTTTCGGCGGTTTTTTCACTCATTGTTAAAATTTTTTACACAAAAATAATTTTTTACTCAAAATTTCGAAAATATGTAAAACAGATCAAAATAATTGAAAATTTTCTTTTTTGAATGACATATTCAAAAAAAAAAAAAAAAAAAAATGCTAAGAAAAATTGGAAGCAATTTATAAATTACACTGTGAAAAAAGTTATGACAGATATAAATATTAAAAATGCTGACCCTGGTGGGAGGTACCAGAAGCAGCAGATCTTGTGTTAGTAGAAATAATGGGATTTGTGTAATTTGAGGAGAGCTGGATGCTTATTTCGCTTTTTTGAGCGTTTTGTTTTTCAAAATCTTGAACCCCTTTGTGGGGGAAGTACGTAAGAGTTTTATGCATTTTCAAAATGTTGACCCTTTGTGGGGTGGTACCAGAAGGAGTGGACCGATATATCCCATCTTCATAGCAGATCTTGTGTTAGTAGAAATAATGGAATGGGAGTGAAATTGGAAGAGAACCGGTTGTTTTTGTAGGATTTTATGCTCGTTTTGGTTATTCAAAATTTGGACCCTTTGTGGGGCGGTACCAGAAGGAATGGTCCGATCTCTACTATATTTAATACATATGTAGTGTTGATAGTAATATTAAGATGTGCCAAGTCTGAATGAAATCAGATATTAATTTGGCGTTTTATGAGCTTCATGGATATTCAAAATTTGGGGGAGGTACTTGACGGAGTGGACCAATATTGTCCATTTTCGCACCTGTTCTAGAACTGATGCAAATATTAGGACTTGCAAATTTGGAGTAAGATCGGATTATACTTTTCTTTCTGTGCTGTAAAATATTTTCTTTAAAAATTTCGACTTTGTGTGGGGAAGGTACCAGAAAGAATGGACCGAAGTTGCCCATCTCCGAACTCGATCTTAGTTTGGCAATAATATTACGGTGTACCAGGTTTGCACCAAATCGGATACTCCCTCCAGCCAGACAGACAGACAGAAGGACGGACGGACATCACTGGGTTGACAAAGAGACCTAGGGCCTAAAACCGTTATTTCCATGAGGCACGTTTTGGCTGAATCAAACGATATATACCCTCTCATATGGTTGAGGGTAGAAAAAATTCACGTTTATAAATATGCTTTAATTTTTTTTAAATCCACGTTCATAAATAGTCATTGAAAAATATTTTTTTTTAAAAATCTTCGTTTATAAACAGTCGTTAAAGAGTATCATAAAAACCCGGTTTATAGCATTGACAGTCCTTGAGAAAATATTAAAAAAAAATCCACGTTCATAGCCTTGAGAAAGTATTAAGAAATTCCCGTTTATAGCCTTGAGAAAATATTTAAAATAAATCCACGTTTACAGCCTTGAGAGTTCTTGAGAAAATATTAAAAAAAACATTTATAGCCTTGATAGTCCTTGCGAAAATATTAAAAAAAAAAAAACACTTATAGCCTTGATAGTCTTTGATTTTTTTTTAAAAATTCGCGTTTATTGTCTTGATAGTCCTTGAGAAAATATTAAAAAAAATCCATGTTTATTGCCTTGATAGTCCTTGAGAAAATATTAAATAAATTCACGTTTATTGCCTTGATAGTCCTTGAGAAAATATTAAAAAAATTTACTTTAATAGCCTAGATAATCCATAAAATTTGTTTTTAAAAATCCACGTTTAGCCTTGATAATCCCTAAAAAATTTTATTTAAAAACCACGTTTAGCCTTGATAGTCCCTAAAAAATTTTATTTAAAAACCACGTTTAGCCTTGATAGTCCCTAAAAAATTTTATTTAAAAAACCACGTTTATCGTTGATAGTCCCTGAAAAATGTTATTTAAAAATCCACGTTTAGCGTTGATAGTCCCTGAAAAATTTTATTTAAAAATCCACGTTTAGCCACGTTTAGCATTGATAGTTCCTGTTAAATTTTATTTAAAAATCCACGTTTAGCATTGATAGTTCCTGTCAAATTTTTTTGCCACGTTTAGCATTGATAGTCCCTGAAAAATTTTATTTAAAAAAATCACGTTTATCGTTGATAGTCCCTGAAAAATTTATTTTAAAATCCACGTTTAGCGTTGATCGTCCCTGAAAAATTTTATTTAAAAATCCACGTTTGGTATTGATAGTCCCTTAAAAATTTTTATTTAAAAATTCACGTTTATAGCCTTGATAGTCCCTGAAAAATCTTATATAAAAATCCAGGTTTATAGCCTTGATAGTCCTTGAAAAATTTTATTTAAAAATCCACCTTTTTAGCCTTGATAGTCCACGTTTATAGTCCTGATAATCTTTAAAAAAATAATTTTAAAAATTCCATGTTTGACAAAAGACAAAATATATTTATAAAATCTACGTTTATAGCCTTGAGAGTCTTGGAAAAATATTTGTGAAAGATCCACATTCTTTATCCTGATAGTCCTTGGAAAAATATGTTTAAATTGATTAAATTATTACATTTAAAAAATTTAAAAAATCCATCTTTATAGCCCTGATGGTCCTTGCAAAAATACGTGTAATATTCCACGATTATTGCCTTGATAGTCTTTTAAAAAATATATTCAAAAAATCTAGGTTTATAGTCCTGATAGTACTTGGAAAAATATATTTAAAAAATTCACGTTTATAGTCCTGATAGTCCTTGAAAAAATATATTAAAAAAATCTATTTTTAGAGGTCTGATAGTCCCTTGAAAAATATATTTAAAAAGTCCTTAAAAAATATATTAAAACAGTCCTTGAAAAAATATATTACAAAAAATCTAGGTAAATATTCCTTATGGTCCTTGAAAAAATATGTTTAAAAGTCCAAAAAAAAAAAGAAAATCTAGGTTTGTAGTCCTGGTAGTTCTTGTTATAATATATTTAAAAAATCCTCATTTATAGTTCTGATAGTCCTTGTAGGAATATATTTTAAAAATCCACGACTATAGTTCTGATAGTTCTTGAGAATATACTTTTAAGAAATTCACATTTGAAGCCTTAATAATCCTTGAGAAAAAAATCAACATTTATTGCCTTGATATTCTTTGGATACATATCAGAAAAAATTCACATTTGTAGCCTGTTAGAAAAAATATCCTTAAAAATTTAAAAAAATAACCTTAAGAGATATCTTTAAAAAGTCCACTTTTACAAATCAAATATCCTTTGAAAAAAAATTTAAAATATCCACGTTTTTTCCTAGTTAATAAATATTTGATTTATATATTTCTTAAAAAATCCAGAAACCTGATCTATTCTAGCATCTTTCAAAATTAACAAAACTTCTTTTGGAAAAATTTATCTAGAACTCTGCATTTTCTTCTTTTTCAGATCTAGTTACAATATATTGTGGTTTTGAAAAGGTAAGTTTGACTAATTTCTAACATTGTATAAATTTAATATTACAAATTGGCATACATATTTACTTTGATGCGATCTCATTGAAATGTAATACAATTTTTTTTTGTTTTTTTATTAATTTTTTATTTTTTGTTACTTACGTATTTTTCAAGTCTGTACAAATCATCACCTTTGCCTTAAATAGCAGTGTTGTTGTCAGAACTCAATTTGTGGAAGTTATTGATTTTGTAATATATGACATGGTGTATCCCATCGAAATACTCTGTTGTCAATACTTACTTATATAAAACCAATATTCCGTAAATTCACATTTATACATAATAACCAATCCTGACTTTCAAAAATTTGTTATGACATCTACACGAAATAACAAGAAAACAAAAAGTATGAAAAGATCACCCGAACTTTAGTTTCGGATAACAGGACCCTGCGGAGAAAGTTCTTGCTCATGTGTATGATAATTTTGTTGTTATATTTTCCAAATAGATTCGTATTTATTCAACATTGTATGCAAATATGGGTGAGATATGTTGGGCTAATGTTGTGGCATCTGCAGTCGCCCATACCCATGCTCTCAACATCATATTAACATATCCTTTTCACACACACATTCACCCACTCTCCCACACCCCCTTGGAAATTATGTAAATCAAGTGTTCTACTTATTTTGTTGTAACTTGAAAAGGGCACTGCTACAGTATTTGTTGTTGTTCTGTATTGTGTTGAACAAGCCACAAGTAGAAGCGGAAAAACAAAATATTAACATGTTTTTGAACAAAAATTTACATCATCGTAAAAAGTTTTTCGAAAAAATAACAAAAGGCATGGGGAAAAAAGTTGAAGTATCAACCACCTATGCTTTCACTTCATCCCCTGCCATCCGACATTTTTTGAATGGGAAATTTGATCTGAATTATCGATTGAACTTAGATTGTGGCCCGAGTGAAAACGGGTAATAATGTAGAATAGCCATCCATGGCCATGGGCACTTTGCCCCCAAAGGGGTTTCCGTTACACGAAAAAGGTAGATACATGCTATTAGTATAATAAATAGTTAATAAGAGGCTTCAAAATGTTCTATGTGGGATTTGATTTTGGCAGGATATAAGAGTTTTTGTTAAGATTTTAAGATTGTTCAAAGGGGAGTAAATGTCAGAAGAAAATGTGAAAGTGAAATATTAATGTTACATAGATATTTGAAAATAAAATCTTGTATGACTCTGGGAGTGACTAAACTGTGAGTAAATGGGCGATAAGTCATAAGCAAAAGGGTACGACGGAAAATAATTTTCATTCATAATGATCTTTATATCATCAGGTAGTTGTCAGGGCATATCGTCTCGCATCGTGGTGTTTCCCAATATTGGACATTTAGTAAGAAAAGGATTTCTATCCTTCCAGAAATTCTTCAAGGTACCTTAAATCGCTTTTGCTGGTCCCTGGATTTCAAGTATATTTTTTTACATTTTAACCATGTTTATACCCTACAACACTATGTGTTGGGGTATTATAAGTTTGATTGGGCAACACCACGAAATATTGATTTCCCACATAGGAAAGCATATTTGGATCTTCCTATCTCGCCGAGCTGAGTCGATCTAGCTATGTATGTCCGTCCGTCCGTCTGTCCATGTTAATTTGTAATCACTCTACAGGTCGCAATTATGGCCCGATCTTCGCGAAATTGAAAACGGAGGTGGGATTAAGGTCAGAATAGAATCCTATTTCTTTTGGAGATGATCGCATAATATTTAGGGGTTTAAATGGACCAAAAACTGAAAAAAAATCCTGATTTTGCAATTGCTCTACAGGTTGCAATTATAGAACAATCGAAGTGGAAGTTAGCATGAGGCTAGAGGCTAACATTTGTGTTAAATAAAAGTCAAATTTTCCATTAAACCGCGAATATTTTTAATCCCGGCGAAATCACAAATAAAAGAACAGGCGAATTCTGACCATTACGTAGGTGCCGATAGTAAATATATCGGATATATATAGCGAAATATATACAATGTGTATATTCATAGGAATGGGATGTTGGCTAGAATGCTTATATCTCAAGAATGGCTGAACCGATTTTGACAAATTTTGTCAATTCAGGATTCCCTCGTCACATAAAAGAATAAAATCTAGAAAAAATCGCATAAAAGATGCCAATAATGATGTTAATTTAGAGTTTGAATTATTTTGTGACATTTTTAAATTTTTTAATATTTTTTATCGCATGCAATTTTTTCAATTTGACTTATAATATTGAAATATACATTTTGTAATATTTGTTCACCTTGCAACACAGGTTGGGATAATATATACAGATTGCAATTATCGTCCGATCCTCACGAACATTTTCATAAGGGTAGGGTTAGGCTCACAAGGGCTAGGCCTATTGTTTTCAAAGATGTCCACAATATATTTAGGGTTTGACATGGACCAACAACTAAAAATTTTCCTGATTTTGTAGCCATTATAAAGGTCACACATATAAACGAATTCTCGCATGAAGTTAGAGGTTAACACAGCGGGTAGAATTTACAACTACTTTTGTGGGAAGAAATACCAACATTTCTATTCTACCGAAACACTGAAAATAAATTACAGGCAATATTCAAAGTACACAAAAGGCGAATTTCCGGCTTTTTTATGCTGTTTTCGTTGACGAATATAGCCAATTATCGTAGACAAGCAAATCATATAGATGAGGCTAAATTTAGAGACACAGAGGGGCCTCTTGCTTTTGGAGATGATAGCAAAGCATGACCCAAAAACAGAACAAAATCCTGAACACACAATTGAAGCCAATCGACACTCCTGAGAAGAGAGTTAATGACAGGGAAAAGTTCTAGCATTTTGGATGATCATTAGATTATATTTTGCTGTAAAATGGAGCGCAACGACGAACAGCACGACGGAGTGCGTAAATATTGGGCAAATGTCCATAATCAAAATGGTAAGGGTAATATCTGGGCAGTGTTCCGTGACGTAATTTCAAAAGCGAAATCTTCCAAAATGGATTTGGACATCAGGGTGCTTCTAACATATTGTAGTGTTGTAGGGTATCACATGGTCGGCCCCGCACGACTATAGCCTTTGCTTACTTGTTTTCATACTAATTTCGGCAAATGTTGTTAATTTGAGAAGAAATCATCCTTGTAAAATATGATCACGTTTTGGTATCACCATCATTGTTACATATAATTTAAGCTATTTTCGAGATCTTGACAACTTTTTTACCCTCAGTCATATGGCTACAAATGGTATATATCATTTGATACGGCCAAAACGTGCTTCTTGGAAATAACGGTTTTAGACCCTAGGTGTCTTTGGAAAAAATCCGTTACAGGACATTTGGAGTCGATCTAGCGATGTCCGTCCGTCTATCTGTCTGGCTGGTGAAGGGAGTATCCGATTTGATTCAAAGTTGGTACATCGCAATATTACTGTCAAACTTATTGGTCCACTCCTTCTGGAACCTCCCACACAAAATGTCAAAATCGTCAAAGAAAATATTTTATTGCACAGAAATAGAAAGGATAATCCGATTTTGCTCCAACTTTGCGAATCCTAATATTTTTATCAGTGCTTTGTCAGGTGCGAAAATGAACAATACCGGTGCACTCCATCAGGTACCTCCCCCACAAAGGGTCAAAATTTTGAATAATTACAACTTTTATAAAATGTGATGTAAGAGTCCGATTGCCTTCAAATTTGACACATCTCAATAATTTAATTAACCCAAGATCCGGTGTCAAAAAAAAAAAAAAAAAAAAATATCGGTCCACTCCCTCTGGTACCTCCCACACAAAATGTCGAAATTTTCAAAAAATATTTTTTTTTGCACAGGAAGACAAAAGGTAATCCGATTTGGTTCCAACTTTGCAAATTCTAATATTTGCGTCACTGCTACGTCAGGTGCGAAAATGGACAATATCGGACCATTCCAACAGGTACCACCCCCACAAAGGGTCAAAACTTTGAATAATTACATCTGTTATAAAATGTAATGTAGTCCGTAATGCAGTCCGATTGTCTTGAAATTTCACACATCCCAAAATTTTTATCAACCCAAGGTCTAGTGTTAAGATGAAATATATGGACCGTTTCTTCTGGTACCACCCCCACAAAGGGTCAAAATTTTGAATATCCATGAAGCTCACAAAATTAACACCAGATTCCATTCAGACTTGACACATCTCAATATTTCTATCTGTTATAAAGATGGTAGAGATCGGACCATTCCTTCTGGAACCTCTGCCACAAAGGGTCAACATTTTGAATAACCAAAACGATCATAAAATTCGAAATAAGCATCTAATTCTGTAAAAATGTCAGTTCTTCCATTACTTCTAAAAACACAAAATCTTCTGTGAAGATGGGATATATCGGTCCACTCCTTCTGATACCTCCCCCACAATGAGTCAAAATTTTGAATATCCATGAAGCACATAAAACGCGAAATTAACATCCGATTATATTCAGACTTGCAAATCTTAATATTTCCATCAATATAAGATCTGTTATAAATACGGTAGAGATCGGACCATTTAATCAGGTATTTCCCTCACATTAGGTTCAAGATTTTAAAAAACAAAACGCTGAAAAAATGTGTACCCATAAATTTTTGCTAACACATGATCTGTTGTAAAGATGATACATATCTGCAAACCCCTTCGGGTACCTCACCCACGAAGGGTCGCAATTTTTATACCCTGCGCCATAGTATGGAGGGTATATTATGTTTGTCATTTCGTTTGTAACACTTCGAAATATAAATTTTAGACCCTATATATGTTTTTGATCAGCATAAAATTCTATGTCGATTTAGCTATGTCCATCCGTCAGTGGAAATCGCTCTAGCTTCCGAACGAAATGAAGTAAGTTGATAAAATTCTGCTCAAATGTATATGATGTCCGCAGGACTTTTGGTATTGAAAATGGGCCATTTTGGTCTACCTTTTGGTATAACCCCCATATAATGATACATCCCGATATTCGGTATTTTGAT